TTTTTTAAAGTTATATTTCTTAGAATTTTTTTAATTTTAATGGAGAAAAGGAAGAAAAAAAGGGTGAGAAACATTTGAAAATTTATTTTATTTCAAATTGAAATTTTCATTTTTATCTAAAATTTGTTTCAAATTGAAATTTTTATTTCTATCATAAATTTTCAAAATCTATCTTATTTAAAATTAGATTAAAATTCTTGGATTTTAAAAGAAATTTTAATTAATTTTTTTCGTTTCGAAAAAATTTGATATTTTTTTTTTAAATATAAAAAAATTGAAATGAAACTATTTTAAATACAGTTCATATTAAAATATAAAGCAATAATATAAATATATTATATAAAGTATAAAATATTTACATTTTAATATGAGTTGTATGTAAAATAGTTTCATTTAATATTGATTATATATATTATAATAATTAATTATACATATTATAATTGATTATATATATTAGTATTGATTATATATATCACAATAAAAAATAATTTATATTACAATAAATTTTTATAAATTAATTTCTATTATTTATATATTTTTTGAAAAGAAAAAAAAGGAAAAGCTTTTTTAAAAGTAATAATAAAAGTAAAAATGAAAATTTGCAAATAAATTCAAATTAAATGAACAATTGAAGTTATTAAGTTATTCATAATAGCTAATTTTTAACAATTTTCAATTTTAATTTTCTTTTTATTTTTCTTTCCTTCATTTAATATTTGAATTTAGTTTTTTTTTTCATTTATTAGTTAAAAGTTGCTCCTTTTTTTTCATTCATTTAATCAGTATTATATATGAAATTAGAAAAAAATGTTTAATAGTTTAAAGATTACTTGCATTATTCATTAATATATGTTTGTTGCTTGTTTAATCGAACGATATGATATGATTGTAAAAAGCTTATCATTTTTTTGGAATGATAAGTAAACAGAATAATCATCACCAAATTTGCCATCTTATCAGTATTGCTTTTCCTTTTTTAACTTCTCTTTTATCCATTTCTTACCTGATCAGGTATGAAATACTTTGTGCAATATTTTTTTTGCTTTATCATTTTACGCTTATATTTTTCATCGAAACATTCATCTATCATATTTATATCATTTACCTCAAGGATATATTATCAATTTTCCAGCATTTTATTCGTTCTCTTTCGAATTACCATTAATTAATTGATCTCTTATCATAGCATATTGTTTTTTTCCTTTCTACAATAAATCAAAAATTGAATTAAATAAATTAAGTTTTTTTAAATTTAATTTTCTATTAAGTTTTTTCATAAATTTAAAAAACTAAATTTTTAAATTTAATTTGTCACCAAGTTAAGTTCGATTTTTTCTTTTTTTGGTACTTCAAAACATTCTTTTAATTGTTCGATTTGATAGTTTTCAAAGTTTTTAAATTTTTTCATTTTTAATTATGGCAAAATTGCCCAAAAAATATAAATTAATTATGAATTTATTCTCATATTTTCGGAATTTTATTTATTCATTACTTTTTTATTCATTTATTTACTTATTTATTTTTGTTTATCAAGAAATATCTTAGTAATAATTCGGTAAGCTATCATGCAAACGATATATTTAAGTATATTATTGAATAAAATTTAAAATCGAACAATTTCGAATTCTGATTTTATGTATTCAAATAAAACCATTATTTTAATCATTTAATTAATGAATTAATCCTCAATTCCGTTGATTTCTGCATAAAGTATTATTTTGTATGTAATTGAAATATTTCAAAAAAAAGAAAAAGAATTCCTTATCATTCATTTATTACATCAAGCATATTATAATCAGTTAGAATTTAAATTGAATATATTAAATATGATTTTTATAGCTTAAACGTTTATTTAATTGAGAGTAATTTTTTTTTTTATCACAATTTTATGAATCTATTAATTTGATAGTACTGAAGTAATTATTTTTATTGAACAAAAATAAAAAATAAAATTGAAATATTTGAGTAAACATTATGCCATTTATTGATTTCAAATTAATAAAACTAATCGTTGTAGAGCTCAAAGGAACGATCCGATATGACAGCACAACAAAAAACTCCACAAATATCTGTATTCTCTTCTTCACCTAAGGTATCTCTAATTTTTTAATTAATTTAAATTTAATTAAAACAAAATATTCACCATCGAGTACGGAAATCATTTCGATTATTTTGATGGTAAAAATGAAATTTAATACAACAATGTAAAATATATGTAAGGAATTTGGAAAATGCAGAAAAAGAAAGGAAAAATGCATAGACAAATCATTTGAAATAAAAAGTTAATAATTTTAATTCAAAAAAAAAATAGTTTTGACAATTTATGAAGTACCTAAATAGGACACTTAAAATGAAGCATTCTAAATATGTCAAGTAAAACAAATATTTAAACGTAAAAATAGAAAATCATTTTCGTTTACTTAAATACTTAAATACTTCAATATTTCAGTGCAAAATACTCAAATATTATTTGATAAACCGATTTATCAATATTCAGCCAATTGATTAATAAAGTAAACAAAGTAAATATTTAAAATAAAAAAAAATAGAAGCAGTAATATTTGTAGTTTACCTGAAAAATAAAATTATTTCTAATTTGCATTTTTTTCTAACTTTTGGTTTATTACTTTTGATATTAATTTGCATTACTTTAACACATTTATTCGCTTTTAATTATTTGTTTTTTGCTATTTATTTTAATTTAAAATTTATTAATTATTTTATTTTTTGTCACTTTTTTTTATTTAAAATGAAGAATTTTTTTTTTGAACTGAAAATATTATTTGAAAAAAAAAAATGGAAACTTATTTTTTTTCATGCTTCTTTTAACAATTTCAAAAAAAAAAAAAAGAATGAATATTAAGAAATGAGCTATACAAAAGATTGTCAATTTGAATTTTGTTAAAAAAAAAAAAAAAAATCGTGCAAAATTTTATCCATAAAATTTAATTACATAAAGTTATTTGAAAAAACATAGAGAAATTTATACGGTATGAAAGTTATTTGAATAAGTTTAATGAATCATAAAAATGAATTTTAAAATTTTTTAAAAAAGCAAATTAAAAGCATATCTAGGATCACTTTGGTTCATTTTTACTTTTTTTTTTTTTTTTGTAAAAATATGTTTATTGAATTTTATCAGAAAAAAAAATGGAAATTCATATTTATTATAGAATATAAAATGATTATTACAATCATTGTTAACAAAATATTTTCTTTTTCCTTATAAATATTATATTTATATTGAAATAATGATTATATTTTATTGCTATTTTTATCAAAATTATTCCAATTATTTTTTCATATTTTGATTTATCTAAAAATCCTAATTATTTTATTGTTATTTGACCAAATTATAATCATTATTATGATTATTTTGTTATTTCATTATAATTACTTCTATCCATAATTACAATTATTATTGTTATGATTATTTCTTATATCAAATTACGATCATATTTATCATTGTTTTTACTAAAATTATAATTGTTTCGGTCTTTCGTTTTGCTAATTCATGATTATTTTCATTATTATTCCATTAAAATTACAGTTATTTTTATTATTTGATTATAAAAATTATGATTATTTTTATCATTAGTTTATCAAGATTATAATTATCTCTAATTAATTTATTTTTAATTAATTTTTCCTATCAATTTCTATTGCTGTATTTTGAATTAATATCATTGTTTGTCATTTCGTTTTTTTTTTTTTTACCTGTCATTTCATCTATGAGTTTGCAACGATAAACGTTAAATTATCATTACAATCATTGCATAGAATTTGTGATTTATTTAAAAATACGTGCGTTAATACTTACCTGTCATTCAATCTATTTCCTTTTCTACCGTAGGAAATGATAAATAGATATACTTTTGAATAAAATTTTCTCATGAGAAACAATTTTTTTTTTTTATTCATTGAACTTTCTTTCTTCTCTTTTTCTTTTTTCTCTTTCTCTTTCTCTCTCTCTCTCTCTCTCTTCTCCTATACTTCTTCGTTATCAACT